ACAAAGTACCAGTGCTCAATTGTTAGAAATTGGAACAAAAAAGGAATACGGTTCCTCGCTGATTTAATTGATGAAAATACCGGTAAGCTTCATTCCAAAGAAAGTCTCGAAAAGTGTTACAATATCAAAAGGACACTTTTGTGCTACACCAGCTTAATGAAAAGCTTACGGGATGAAATGAAGATAACGTCTATAGTAAAAGAAGTAGGACCAATTATGCCATTACGTATGAACCTGATTTTAAATGAGTCAAATTTCACGCGACTTGCTTATAATACATATGTGTTTTCAACCAAACCCTGCGACAGAAGAGTTAGCGAAAAATAGATAAGGGACATAAGCTGTTATGATGAAAATAGTTTCTTTGAAATAACAATTTAAGCGACACACTGCAACCGTGCAAGAATATTCCAATATAAACTTGCTAATCGCATATTGTCAACGAATACATATTTAAAGTTAATAAATGTTACTGAAAATGATAGTTGTACATTTTGTAAGGAAGAACCAGAAACATTAGCTCATATATATTGGTTATGTCCTCACACGCGAACATACATCACATCAATTAAGACGAGCTTATTGAGCAAATACTACATCAACATAGGTATACAACGAAAGAACTGGTTAGTGGTTTTTCCTCACAAATGTAACGGAAATGGAAGCATGTCTATTAGTATTTGCCAAGATGGCTATATACAAAGCGAGATTAAAGGAAAATATCCCAAATATTTCACATTTGGAAAATAAGCTGAAGCAATTAATTAAAGGGACTGTCCCACCTTTGCATTAGTTCTGAGTTGAGATAGCCGAGTTGGCGGCCAGGTTCAGAAACCACTATATATCCTGGTCGCAATATCCTCAGTTTCGTGGTGTTAAAGAAATTCGTCCCCTTCATTTGAAAAGTGGGCCTTAGCTAAGGCCCTATCTCTTAACTATTAACGGCCATTTGATGACGTCATTACTCATTTGCCTTTTGAACGCCTGTCACACATTCAAGTGAAGCATCACTTGATTTACGAATAAGCCAATCAGAGACACTCTTGTTATTGTATGAGCCGCGTCATATTTGAGAGCAAATATATTTGCTGCCAAATTTCCCCTCACATTGACATGAAGTAAATCCTTCATTACGTCACAGATTCGATATAAATGACGTCACGATGAAATATGAAAGTCGCAATATTTCAAAAAGTATACGATGAAAACGCGTAAAAACTTGCAGAATTCGTCAAAATATCATGAGTAACATTTCCGAATCCTAAACGGTACTTTTTTGAAGGTGGGATAGTCCCTTTAACACAGAATACAGTATCGCGAAAAAAGCCAACACATTAGACGCATTCAAAAAGAAATGAGGTTCCATGAAAAACTTAGTAACATCAACCAGCGGTATTTAAACAATCAGTCACTCACACAACGAAGCAATTGCACACACCCACACACTCACCTACCCACGCACCTACACACACGCGCGCACACATCCACATTTAGAACCGCGCAGCCCGCAGGTGGCCAACAGCAGCAGTGTCGCGCACAAATGCACCCAAGCACGCACACACCAACAAATAGGCACACACAAACGCTCACAATCCTCACCCTTCCTCAACCATTCTACACAAATCTTCATCCCTGAAGCTGCCGCGGGCAGGCTGGATCGCCCCGCAGGCGCCGGGCGATCTCGCGCGCGACCGGCGGCGGCGCGGTCCTCTGCGCCCGTTGTTGGTCCGTCCGCCGCTGTCGCCGCCTTCGCGAGGCTGCCGCCGTCGGGATCGTGCTCTGCTGGCTCGGCCGCCGGCGGGGCTGCTTTAGTTTAGTTGCATACATTGGTTTGGTTGCATCAGATTTCGGTACATACATTGTACATTGTGTACATTGTACATTGTACATTGTATGTACATTGTGAGCACGTGTGCAGAGTGGGGAGCTGCCGGCGCCACGCTGGTTGGATCCGCCGGCCCGGCCTCCGACGTAACTGTGTATGTGGTGTGTAATTGTATACCTCTCTGGGCAGAAACGCGAACTGTAGACAATGTATGGGTGGGTTTTGGCGCTGCTGAGGTTGTGGCAAGTGTCAACCTTGCAGATTGTTTGGCGTGAGCCATCGTTGCCGTTTGAAGTGAATAAACCGAAAAAAAAATGACGAACATTCAAGTTTTTCTGAGGTGAGGTTTCTTGAAGTGACGTAGTAACCGGACCTTTAGCGATCTGGGTCTGAAATTTTCATAACATGTGCGGAAAAGTTGCATTGGCATGTGTTTTGGATTTTTCGGCTATTATATTCAGAAAAACTATTTTTTTTTTATTTTTGGGGATCAAAATCCTAAAATTTCAAAAATCTGAGATAGCAGTTTTGTAGCCCTTTAAATTCTACACCTTTTATTTTTTGAAACATTTTTCTGTATCTCTAAAGCTGTAGGCCTGAAAGCTCTTCTCGCGAAACCTTTTTTGTCGAAAATGGCAGAAATGACGTCACTGTGACGTCATTAGCGTCCAACCTATCATAGCCTTTGGAAAAAATTTTGGTCACAATGTGCAATAGCTATTCTCGGGATGGTACTGAAAGTTTGGTGACAATCGGCGCAGCGGTTCTCGAGATATATCGAAAAAAAGAACTAAAAGGGGGGCAAAAAATGCCCCCCTCCCACCGCCTGGGAGGTTAAAACGGTTCATACGTATTTCCTATGGCATGTAAATTGCTAAAATATATTTCTCTGTCGCCTCTCTCAGATAGGCGCATTTTGATGCAGCTATAGTTCGTTTATTTTAAGTTTGCCCCTCACTGTAAACGTCTCTTTGAACACAGCACTAGAATTGCTAGCTGAATTACTGAGAAAACTGGTTAGCACACATTGTATTGGAGATACGAATAATATTTTCAAAATAAGTTTTGAATACCGACGATGTAACGTTTTGTTAAACGCCGTGCAATTCATTAACTAGTTCAGACATAATTCCTGAGAAGTCGTCTATCCCTGTGGGGCTGTAGGTATTGGCAAATACGAGCTATGACTCTGTGAAATAGAAAATAAATTTGATGAAATTAATCGTCTGTGAAATCTGGTCAAATCAATGTGCGCCAACCAGTTTTCTCATTAATTCAGCTAGCAACTCTCGTGCTCTGTTCAAAAAGACGTTTACAGTGAGGGGGAAACTTAACCCTCGCCCGTATTGGTGTTTTTCCAGCCGCGAACGTATAAGGGGGGGGGGTCCGTTGGACCCCCCCTTGCCGTTTCGCCCCTGATCGAGCTAGAGCTTCGCGGAAAAACAAGCGTGTTGCCCGTGACGAGAGGAAGCCGATGATACCCAATTTTAAGGTCCTAGGTCATTGGTTGACCTTGCAGGTCAGGTCAATGACCCTAAAGGCGGGAAAATCGGGACCTGTTAGAACGTCGTAAAGTGTGGCTGCTATGGGGTTTTTCGGGGTGCTGATCATGAATATCATGTTAGTTTTGATCACAGATGATGTCTTCATGTATTTAGGCCAGGTCGGGTCAGGTCAGGTCAGGTCAACCAGTAAGGGTATTCGTAGTTGGTGGCAACCGCCTGTGACAGCTTCGTAACATGTTACGAAGGCACCAAAACTACTTCGTAAATGTTCATATGGTTGCTAAATTCGACTTCAGCTCCAAAAACTGGCCTAGAAACGTGTAAAACTCGAAAAAGTGAACCGAGGTCATCAACGGTCAATGACCTGACCTGACCTTCAGGTGACCTTGACACCCACCCTAATGCATGGGGGCAACATCATATCACATGTTTGAACGCTTGAAACCACGAAAAGACTGCAAACGCGCGGCTAATGCGAGCCGACATACGCCGAATCGCGATTCCAGCCAAACATGGTCTCGGAAAGTAGGTCACAGGTCAAAGGTCATTTGGGTCAGGGTCATGAACTTTTCAGGGTAGGTGTGAAATTGATGAACGCGAGGGTACTGAAAGTTTCGTTGCGATGGGCCGCTTTTTACGCGAGTTATTCGCGAAAAACCATGGGGGGGGGGTCCGTTCGACCCCCCCCCCTATACGGGCGAGGGTTAAAGGGAGTGTGCCACCTTCCAATGATTTCCCATTTTATTTTTCCTAGGATAAGAAGCTTCTGTTTTTACCTAATATCGCAAAAATAATCAAAAATGGGCCTGGAATAGTGCTTTTTTCGCCGAAAAGTTTATCGGTTTTTCGATATGTATAACAACTGTAGTGGGCTGACCTGCTAACAGGCGTCGGCAGCAATCGCTAATGCGGCGCACATGTGACAATAAGCAAAGGTCATTATAGAGTTACGACGTACGGGAATGAGTTATCAGCTGTCTAATCGTAGACAACACAATGTCGAACTTAAACTGTAAGCCTGTATTGGTATTGTTTCTTTAATTTGGCTGTCGAACATTAATTTATGGTATGAAATATGATTTTATGTAAGATAATTGATATGAAACAGCCGTCTCTTAAGTTATGACTCCATCTCACCACACGAAAGTGGCAGAAATGACAATGATCAGCTGACGCATTTTTCTTGGCCGAAGTCAGAGCGCGCGGCCCGACGCACCACCACCGCACCACAAAGTATGAGCAGGAGCCACCTAACAGGCGTGTTCGAAACCGCAGGAGATGATGATGAACGGGTTTATCGAAACTTGATTGGATGAGCCTATCGGTAATTCCACGTCAAGTGGGACAAAAAATGATCATTTTGAACCTCACCTTCTCCGATTTTTGCGAAACTTTGTGAAACTACTCATCTATATGTGAAAAGAAAGGAGACATATTTTTTGTCAAGATATGACGTCACGGTTCCGAGATACACGTCATCAATCATTGACTTAGGCAAGGCACATTATCATCTTTAAAGCGTCATAACCATTGAAGTTTTAGACATATCACCACGAGACAAAGTGTGAAACGGACAACTGGAAGGATGCCACTGGAACAACTGCAAGGATGCCAAACACGACCTGCAGAAACACGAAGAATCCGAAGCCCATCGGGAGGCATGCAGCAAGATGCTCAGCGAGGCATCCAAGCCAATCAGCAGCCTGCTGGTGGAGCAGGTGAATGCCGAACACGTCCGTCGCCGCCGCTGCCTCATCAAGGAAGTTGAATCGCTGATCTACCTGCTACGGCAAAATCTTCCCATCCGTAGGAGGACTGAGACGGAGGGCAATATCCACCAGCTGCTCGTGTTACGGCGAAAGGACGTGCCGGACTTGCATCTATGGGATGAATACTTGTCTCCGGTGGCTCAGAACGAGATAATAAAGAGCATTGGAACTACCGTGCTGCGCAATGTCCTGCAAGACATCAGGGCAGTCAAGTTGTATGCAGTCATGGCAGATGAGACAACCGACACCTTGATGAACGAACAGTTTAGCTTGTCTATTCGCTGGGTGGACGACAAGCTCGACATTCACGAGGACCCGGTGGAATTCATAATGGCTGAAGATACATCAGGTGAGGCGCTGGCAAACCACATTAAGGACGCACTCATCCGCATGCAGCTCCCACTGCAGAACTGTCGCGGACAGGCGTACGACGGAGCAGCCAACATGCGAGGGCGGATCAAGGGGGTCTCCACGCGGCTGCAGAAGGAGTGTCCATCAGCGCTATATGTGCACTGCTTGGCCCACTGCACAAATTTGGCTCTACAGGAAGCATCACGCAAGTGCAAGATCATCCGCAACGCGCTGGACATCACCAACCAAATCACGATCTTCGTGCGCAACTCACCCAAGGCAGCTGGAATGCTGCGTGAGCTGGTCAAGGCCAGTGGGTCAAGCGGTGGATCACTGCGCCCTCTGTGTCCCACACGGTGGACATGTCGCCCGGCATCCCTGGAAAGCGGTCTTCGCCACTACCCCGAAGTCATGGACACGCTGGAGAGAATCAGTGCGACGTCCAGTGGTGAGCACTCGCACAGCGCCAGTGGCATGCTTGCATTGATGGAAGCCTTCTCAACACTTGTCGGCCTTCATCTGGCTGTGGCTGTATTTTCAGTCGCTGAGGACCTGTCTAGGGGTCTCCAAGCTGCAACAGCAACAGTCCAAGGGGCGTCCCAGGCAGTATCACAAGTTCGCAGGCGCTACAAGAGCATGCGCTCAGACGGGGCATTCGCAGACCTCTACAAACGCGCACTGGAAGCTTCAGAGAACGATCCGAAGAATCGCATCGGAGCACCGGCTCTCCCAAAAAAGCGCAAAGTCCCAGCGAGGCTGGGTGGCGGTGAGATCGATACGGACTGCACACCAGAGGTCTACTACAGGCGCCAGTTTTATGAGGTGCTGGACATGCTGGACACCCAGCTGGAGGACCGCTTCGACCAGCCCGCAATGGAGACGATGCAGCGGCTGGAGCGGGTTTTGGAGAGAGCAGCCACGCCGCAAGAGACCCCCGTACAGCTTCCGGCCTCCTTGAGAGAGCTGTATGGAGCTGATGTCAATGTGGAAAGGCTTGAGAACCAGCTCAAGCTGCTGCCAGACCTATTCGAAGATGAGGGGGTGTCGATCCCAGCGAGGAACATGCACCAGATCAAGGAGGTGCTGGTTAAGGCGAAACAGGCTGGATGCGCGGTCACCGACAAGATGATGAGCGAGGTCATGACGCTCATGCGCATTTATCTGACCGTGCCAGTGACAACGTCTACTGCCGAGAGGTCATTCTCAACACTGCGTAGGACAAAAACATACTTGCGTTCAACGATGAGCCAGGGGAGGCTGAACGCGGCGCTGATGTGTGCCGTCCATCACAGTAGAGTAGACGAGCTGGACTCCCCCCTCCCCTTATACGTTCGCGGCTGAAAAAAAAACACCAATACGGGCGAGGGGGAGTGTGTCACCGCTAGACTAGTTATTTGACCATATACTATTAGGTGTTTATTTATATTTATTTATTTACGATCTCAAGCCTCCACGTGGTAGGTTTTAAAGCTTACGTCATTGTACACTTGTTACATTGTCATTGTCATTGTATATACCGGGTGGCCCAGAAAAAACGTTCCCAACTTTGAATCAATATTTCTCAGAAAGTGATAAAGATACAACATTGAAACTTCGAATAGTCAATGCGGCACACATTTTCAGTAAATGGTGTGATTTTCATGGTGTTCGGTAAATTACTTTTTAAACGGTTCGTGTTTCAAGCATGCCATGTAAAAATTACTTTTTTGCTCCGATGTTTACTCAAAAATGTGAGTGAACAGGTCACTTTCACCCCTCGGCACCACGGCCTAGAGCCATGGCTGCTACTGGCAGCTAGTCTCATTGATGGTTCGGGTCTCAAGATGACACATTCCATCAGGCAACCACGATGGCTCTGTGCCAGTGGCATCGGAAGTCGTTTCCAGTTTTCTAACCATCTTGTGGCTCAAATGCTTTCCTGGCTGACATTCCTGGGAAAAGGTAGCTTTTCAACCAGTTTTCTTTTTTGTCATCTGCTGGCAATGTTGTTTTTCATAAAATGTTATGTGGTCTTCTGGCACAGGAACTAGTCTGTTTTAGTTTGTTTTCCTTATCCGGTCGATTTACTGTTTGATCTACTGAAAGGAGGGTAATCAGCAGTAATCCATGCACCGTGCCACGAATCATGATTTGGTGTTTAAACGAATGACATCCATGAGCACCATTTTGGCTCAGTATTTGAATATTTGGCACATAAGTGAGACACAAATATTTAAAATAAGAACATACGTATTGGTTTCATTCACATGCTCTATTTTTCTATTCTTTTTTATAACATGGAGCGTCTAGCCCAATCATCACTATCGTTTGACATCGGCAAAAAAAGCAAAAACGTCTTGCTTAATTCAACTCAAGATTGCCAGCTTGAAAATGATGGTATAGTGTTATAATTTAGCATACCAATGCGCAAAGAAATGACGCAAACTTGCTGAAAATTGTGTCTCGTTATTTGCACTCGAATTTGATATATAGGCCTCCAAAGTTCGGAACGTTTTTTTCTGGGCCACCCGGTACATTGAGGTGTCATGCATACATACATAGGTACAAACTATGGTCACAAGTTCATCGGTGCAAAACTCACAGCCTGTATAACGCACTATGCCATATGCTATTTCACAAAGACTTTATCTTTCAACCATTCAACAAAATAATGCATAAAGCACTGGGATGCTGCATTCGAGCGTGAATGAGCTTTTTCAAGACATTTCGAAACGGGGTGTTTTATATTACGGGTATGGTAAGACGCTATACTTTGGTTGTCACCTGGTTAAAAGTTTCGTTTGCATAGAAAATGCATTTAATGTTCCATTTTCGGCAGTACTACTCTATTATTTAGGTAAGCAAAAATGTATGAGTGTGTAACAAATGTAATAAGTAAATAAACAATTTCTTCTTCTGTGATAGTCTGTTTGGGGACCTCTTGTTCGAGCCGTATAACCAACACGGTTTTTCTTTTCTTGAAGTATGTATTGCAAATTTGACGACAGAATCCAAAAGTAATAAACAGTCGGCCGAGACTTTGAATAACGATACGTCAGGCCGCTACGGCGGTTGGCTTTCGAATGATCCTTTCACAGCTACTGCTCGGCGTTCGGCGTCGGCCGCTATATTCAAACGTCATACACACACGTCATACATACGTCATATCATAGCACCAATCAGAAGCGGGCGAGGACAGGCGTCGCAGGTGAGGAGTGAGGACCATATAAGGGTATTGTAAGTGGGCGAGGGGGCTGGGCAGTAAGTAGGTACAGAGGGAGGTGGAGGACGGGGTAGGAACGAATTTCGTTACAACACAACGCGAGGTCCTTAAAGCTGAAATTTTGACCAAAATTTTCGGCTTGGGATACTCCTAATATGATGCATGATATAACGTACACAACACACGACACAACACAAACAACATCTAACACAACAATATACACAGCACCTCAACACACAATTTCCCGTTCTTTTTCGTTGTAGTCCTCGTAGCTATAAGTCTATAGAGTCTTCTTCATTGTCCGCTTACGAAACATAGTCTACTGTCTCACTCGTGCTCATCAATTCGGTTCTCGCTTCGCAATCACTGGTAAGATTCCGCTGCGGGCACATCAGTTCAGGGAGTTCAGAGAGTTCAGAGGGTTTAGGTCACCTTTGACGCTGCTGTCTGACACGTGTTTGTCCGTCCATTGTCCATTGACACCAGATCGTGTGTCAGATGTCGACACGCTGTCGCCAGATGATGTGTCAGATATTGACACATTGACGTTCTCACGTCTCGCGTATTGTTGTGGGTCGTCCGTCCGGTGTCGGCTGACCAGACCACGCGTCATCGTAGTTTTATCGGGGCGCCCGGACGTGGGGTGTCCGATGCGGGGCGGCCCGATCTCAGTGGCGCTGACTAGCACCGGCGGCGGCTCGACCGAGTGTGGGAGCGCCGCTACTGGTACCTCTGCTGCGGAGAAAGAACTCCTCTGGAAAATATTTGCATCAGGCATCTGCGGATTTCTGAGAAGCGAGGGTTGGAGACGGTTTTAACCATTTTAAGCACGAGGGACTTGGGTCCGTGAGTTTTTCCCGGGGCTTGATATTTGGAGCTACACTTGACGTTTCTTCAACAATAACACTGTCAGGGGCAGGATTTTGAGCGGATACTTTCTGGGGTCGGATCATAATGGGTTTAAACACATGACATCGGACGTATAGAACAGTTAATAGCACTAACGCAACCACAATACACGTTGTGACCGAGATGGCGGGGATAACGACAGTTTTATTATGCTGAGCATTGCGTACTCGAATCTGTTGAATATGTTTCTTCAAGTTAGACAAATGGACACTTTTGTCCTGAAGTGGGGGAATGAAGTTTACGGCTTCGGGGAGTGAAACATTAGTTTCCGAAAAATCAACAAGTACCGCATTTGACCAAGTATCTATTACAATGTCAATAACTTTTACGCTCTGGTTAAACTTAGCAAAAAGCTGAATTGCCTGGTCACTTCGCAATTGTTGGCGGTGCTCTGCAAATATACTACTGACTTTACTTTTAAAGAGCTTCACATGATGCTCCAGCTTCAATACAAACGTCCATGATGTCCTGGTTTCGATGGGGATGTGAAGAGTCCAGTGGTCGTATGAAGCGTAGAGATGGCCTCGGGGCAGGAAGAGAACGTTGGCCGTTGTCGGAGATGTCAGATAGAACAGGAATGTCAGGAAGAACGGTCTTGCCCACATCTCTGGAACACACACAAACAACTATCAACATTTCGCAAACATGAGGTTAGTACACGAACAATTGAACGGTTCACTGACCGAACGTAAAATGAACAACACATAAATGGCTGTGGCATACTAGCCAGAGTCGGTATATCATTAAACACAATACAACGTGGTACCGCGATTACGTTGTCTTCGGCATACAAACCGGGATCCATATTCTATATAAACACTATAACACCATACAGCCGTTCAGCCTTCATCGTACTAGCTGGGTTCCACAAAATACTGTAGACATTCGGCTGTCATCCGACCTGTAATAACTCAGGGGGCCGGGGAACCTTTTTACATTTTTTCTAATTGTTTGAACATGTCGGTCATCAACTTCTCATGTGTTTTCAGCATCTTAACTAACAGGGCTTCTTTCACACGTGGGTTAGTACACATTTGCTCCTTTTCAATATGTACACCATCGGCGTCCAATTCGTCTGAATCCGATTCGTGGTCTTGGTCGGCACATTGTAATTTTGAAGGAGGACTACGCGCTTCTGCATCCATGTCGTTCGACTCTGATTCTGTACGGGTGAGTGGTCTTTTCATAGGGGTAGGTTCAATTTCGAATGGATCAGATAACTTTTCCGTTCTCAGGCGCTTTGCTAATTGGGACAAAGGAATATTCTCGTCGTCAGAACTATTGTCTTTCAATTTTTCTTCTCTCCATCGTTTTCGCATTTCGGATAACGGCACGTCAAGATCTGCATCGGAATCAGAATCTTCAGGTAAAGGTGGGTAATTTTGTTCACTCGGCGACGGTTTCGCTGGAGCGTAAGTTTCAACAGGGGTTGATATCGAACTGGGGGTTGAATCACGAATAGACCGATCTGTGACTGTTTCAGTATTATGCATTTCTGTATCAGCGAATGAGAACTTTGATTGACGTGGAGGCTGCACACGAAGTGGAACTGGGATAAACGACTTCTGTTTACTTTCGTACTTGCTGTTGATATGATGTGGTTCTTCTGTCACGTTTTCCCAAAGGGTATCTGGATCAGCGAATCTCAAATTATGAACGTTCACTACTTTGACATCGCCCGACAGCTGGTTCTTAATGACAAAGGTTACGTCGTTGATGGCTTTGATAACGCGGTAAAAAGGTTTCCAATGGCACGACAGTTTGGAAGCATTTTGAGTCGCCTCCGTAGGGTTTCTGAAATAAACCATATCACCGACTTTGATTTTCGTTGGTTTGGCGGTACGATCATAATAAAATTTGTTTCTCTCGTGACTTTGTACTAGGTTGTGACGCACATGACTGTAGGCAGAATGCATGTTTTCGAGCATGGTAGGTACGTAATCTTCACCTTGGTAACGATATTTTGGAGATAAAATGCTATCGAGTGGGAGAACAGGGTCACGACCGTAAAGAAGGAAGAAAGGGGAATACTTGGTAGTCTCGTTTTTCGCGGTGCGATAAGCAGACAAGATTGAAGGAAGCTTTGTGTCCCAGTCACGTTGAGATTTACTCACTAACTTTGCTAACATGTCGTTCTGAATTCTATTATATCTTTCGCATTTGCCGTTCGATTGTGGGTGGTAAACGGAAGTTCGGATATGTTTAATGTTGCTAAAAGTTGTAATTTGGTCTATGACGGCGTTACAAAACTCTGTACCATTGTCTGAAATCATAATCCTAGGACAAGCATGGCGAGGGATGATATGTTCTAATAAAATTTGGGCAACCGTTTCTGCACTTTTTGATGAGGTAGCGAACGACTCTGGCCATCCAGAAAATAAATCGATGACAGTAATAATGTACCGGTTTCCTTGGAAACTTTCAGGGTACGGACCGGACGTATCTACTGCGATCTGCTCGAAAGGAAACTTGGGGATTGGCATATCTTGCAGAGGGGGTCGCTCGCGTCTGAGTTTGCGCATATTGCAGGCGACACATGTTTTTAAATACTGAACAACGTCTCGATATAGACCGGACCAAAAATAACGTGAACGGATCTTGTCGTACGTTTTATCTATACCTAAGTGTCCGCCGAAATAGCCTGAATGAATTTCTTCGATGATCAGTTTCTGTAGGGGCTTGGGAATAACTAACTGCAAACCTGGAAATGAGGGGTATTTGGACGGATCAGAAACTCGATATAGTAGACCGTCTTCCAAAATATAATAACGAGACACTACAGCATGGTTCGAATGATTTGGGTCCTGTAATACTTTGATCAATTGTTGGATCTCGGGATCCTCTCTCTGAAGTAAACCAAGGTCGGGATGTCCTTGCAAAAACTCTTTGAATTTTTCCTTGGGAGGAGCCTCAGGTAACTCACTTCTTTTCACTTCAGTCTCTACTTGAATGTCCGGCGCTCTATCAGAATCAATCACATTCACACTGCACGAAGATTCATTATTTACACCGAATGCGGCTACGCATTCGTCGACATGGCACGGTAATGACTCACTAGTCATTAATCCATTTCCTGGGATATCCGTGTGACAATCCTCTCCTGAGGTGTCCAGTCGCGACAATGCGTCTGCAACTACATTCTGACGTCCACTAATATACTGTATATCACATCCATACTCATCTAATATAATCGCCCAACGTTGAATCCTAGCATTCTTCATTTCACTGGTGAACAGGTGCTTGAGGGGCTGGTGGTCCGTCATAATCGTAACTTTACAACCGAGTAAATAGGGACGGAACTTTTGTACACTATATACAATCGCATAAGCTTCTCGCTCGATAGTAGGCCAGCGTTGCTGGGTTTCGTTGAGCTGATGCGACAAATATTGGATGACTCTTTCACCCAATTCAGTCTCTTGGACTAGCGCAGCACCTATGGCGTTTTGTGACGCGTCAGTATATAACTTGTACGGCTTATCCACGTTCGGATATGCCAAAATTGGTGCAACTGTTAAAGCTGAACGAAGAGTTTCAAACGAAGACTGACATGCATCATCCCAATAAAAACGACGATTTTTCTTTGTTAGCTCTGTCAATGGTTTGGCTATCCTTGCAAAATTTGGGACGAATCGCCTGTAGAATCCACACATACCAAGGAATGATCTGACGCCTTTGACGTTTGTCGGAGGACGGAGATTTTGTATTGCACTTATTTTCTCGGGATCCGGTTTGATACCAGATGGAGTAACTACATGGCCTAGGTATTTTACTTCTTGTTTCAAAAACTCACATTTTGACATCTTAATTTCAAGCCAGCGTCTCTCAAACGTGAAAAGACTGCATCTATATGTTCTAAATGTTCCTCAAAGGTTTTTGAATAGATCAAAATATCATCCAAATACGCAATAGTAAATTTGTGTTGAATGCCCCACAGTACTTTATTCATGAGCTCTGAAAATAGACTGGGTGCATTGACATACCCAAAACATAACTTTTCAAACTCGTATTGACCCATGAAACAAGTGAATGCCGTTTTGGCCTTTGACTCGGGATCCATGGCTATCTGCCAGTACCCACTGCGGAGATCTAAAGAAGTGAAATATTTCGCACCTTCAAGCGAAGCCAAAATGTCGTCTAATGCGCGGAAGAGGGTAACTATTTTTGACAACGATCTTGTTCAAAGCACGCAAATCAACACAAAACCGTTTTTGTCCATCCTTCTTATCTACAATCACAATCGGACTAGACCAGGGACTACGACTAGGGGAAATGATGCCAGCCTGCAACATTTTCTGGATATGCTCTTCTACAAGTTTTCTCTGACTGAAAGGCAATCGGTAAGGTCGCTGTTTAATTGGTGGATGATCACCAGTTTCAATTGTTGCTTTCACTAAATCAGTACAACCTAAATCCAAATCACTTTTTGCAAACAAATCCTCATTTTGGGCCAAGAAGTCTTGTATCTTTTTACGTTGATCTTCGGACACATGTGACAATAGCGCTTTTTGACTTTCGGGGACGTCATCTGACGGTTCACTACACTGGTCACCTTCCTCACTAGCTGTAAGTATGCATCCTTCCGGGTCTTCTAAAACTTCCGCAATGCCAATGACTGATCGAGAAGGCAAAACGTAATCCCTACCAGTGGCGTTCACTATCACGACTGTAATACGCTTGTTTTTGTCTACGTGACCTACACTTTCAACCAAACACAAACCAGGTTCTTCTCCTAGAACGGGTGCATTGCTCAAAGGTTGTACTATGCAATCTTGATCCAGCAATTGAACACGGTTGACTAACGCAGGAATCTCTATATACGACTGAGCAGGAATTGTAACTTTGTGAGGCACTCGAACCAAAGATGTAGTCGTTTGGCAAGTCAGACGTTGCGGTCGCAGCGGGATGACGTTACCGTCGAGGTTCATCGTCTTTTGTCCAAAATCTAATTGAACACCGAATGCAGGAGAGAAAGTCGTTGCCTAGGATACAGTCGTTTTTCAGACCTTCTACGATTTGGAATTTGAACGGTTGATTAAATCCTGCAATTTTGACTTGTAGTACGGCCGTTCCGAAGTTTGTGAGTCTATGACCAGAGATAGAACGAATAGGAACGCAGTTCCTCGTAGAAAAAACCCTTGATTTTCCTGCACTGGATTTTAGTCAAAAGCTTCACGTGAAATAAGGGATATGTCCGCTCCTGAATCTACTAACGAATAGGCTTTTTGGTCGCTCAGAGATACATAGCACATCGGCGTATCAGGTTTAATTTTAATTTGTGCTGCTTGCGGTCCAGGTTTCTTTGTAGAAACTTTCCGTTTCGGACCGTCTTTCTTTGGCGCGTTTCTGGTCGCTATTTTTCGAGACGCGCGTTCGCGTTTCCCTGGGTACTTTGGGGAGGAGGACTGGGTTGAGTTGCGTCGGCACGTACGGCGTACATGTCCAGGTGTGCCACAAGCGATACAGATGGGGGATCCATCTTCAGTCCACTGGTAGTTCGGTCTGGGAGTCTGAGGGGCTTGAGGGAGAGTTTGTACGTTGCCATAGTACGACATCAGCGGGGGTGGAACATCAAAGCGGACTTGCGGGGGAGCTGTCGGGGGAACGTTGAAGTAAGTCGGTGGGGGAGTAGTCGGAGGTACGTTGAAACGCACCTGCGGTGGGGCGGTCTGAGCACGTTTTTGCGGTTTCAGTTTTTGGATGTCGCGAGACATTCGCTGCACTTGGGAGGTTAGATTCTGAATAGTGGTCCGAAGTTCAGAGTCTGTAGCGGACTGAATACCGCTGCAGTCCATGGGTTCGACGTCGGACTGAGGAGGGGAGTGATGGCGGCAGACTTGGAAAGTCCTGTCGGCCTGCTGCTCACTTTCAGCGAAAGCGAGGGCGTCGTCGAGGTTAGTGAATCTTTTCCTGATCAAGTTTCGCGCCAAGCTGTCGTCGCTCACGCCTTTTTGGAACACTTCTACTAGGAAGCGTTGCGCCTCAGGGGCAGAGAGATTTTCGAATGCCTCCGACGCCATTGTCCGCAGCTTTTCAGCAAAATTTTGTACCGACTCACCACGGTTCTGTTTTAGACGTCTGCATTTTTCCGAAGCCAGGTACGGATCAGTCATTTCGCTATACCTTTCCTTTAGTTTGCGTCGGAGTTCCGACCACGTGATTTGGGGGTTTTCTTTTAGCATGCGTGAAGCGTACGCACCAGCGGATCCGTTTAAAGTGATGGTCGCCAAAACACACATACGCTCTGAATCGCAGGTAATAGATATCTGATCCATGTCGTTTAACCATTGGGCGAATTTGGCGGAACCCTCTCCGGAGAATGTTCGGATGTGCTGAGTTAGACCCTGAATACGGAGTTCCTGACAAATAGTTTTGGAGCGCTTTGGTGATGACTGCCTCGGACATTTTGAAAACTCTGGTAAGTATAAATCAATCAGCGAATACAAACAAGTGGTGTTTATGGAGCGTTGACAAATAAACAGTTCAGTTGACACACGAAAATGCGGAGATAACAGTCACACAATGCAAAAATCACACAAATGTACACAGGCACAATAACAGTTGAGCAATCGAAAGCGAAAATGTGGGCGAAGACGTTCAGGGAAAAGATAGGAAAGAGTGACAGCTTACTGTTCGTAGACTTGTAGAGCAATTTCTTGCGGAACCAATTTCAATTCTTGAGTTTTTTTATTTAGATCCGGGTCACGGCACCATTTGTAACAAATGTAATAAGTAAATAAACAATTTCTTCTTCTGTGATAGTCTGTTTGGGGACCTCTTGTTTCAGCCGTATAACCAACACGGTTTTTCTTTTCTTCAAGTATGTATTGCAAATTTGACGACAGAATCCAAAAGTAATAAACAGTCGGCCGAGACTTTGAATAACGATACGTCAGGCCGCTACGGCGGTTGGCTTTCGAATCCCCTTCACAGCTCCTGCTCGGCGTTCGGCGTCGGCCGCTACATTCAAACGTCATACACACACGTCATACATATAGATGTACGTCATATCATAGCACCAATCAGAAGCGGGCGAGGACAGGCGTCGCAGGTGAGGAGTGAGGACCATATAAGGATATTGTAAGTGGGCGAGGGGGCTGGGCAGTAAGTAGGTACAGAGGGAGGTGGAGGACGGGGTAGGAACGAATTTCGTTACAACGACACACAAATGTTTTGATTTTTCTTTTTTTAAAGTTCTAGACCTCGTGCGGGAACAAAAATGGCACCATTCGATGAAAAACTGATCAGATAGACACCTTTCAGGTCTTAACAACCAACTTCAAAATTTGACCTTACTTGACGTGACCTTGACCTGATCTCGACCTAAAATTCATCTAGATGTGGTCCGTATCAGTTATTGAATGTGCCTATTGAATTCTCTATGACTAAAATGACCCATAAAACATGTGTCGCACATACCCTTTTCAATATTTCGTTTTGGTGACCTGACCTGACCTTGACCTTGACCTTTGCGTGGTATTGTATGCAAGGAATACCTATTGTCTTGGTAGCCTAAGAACGCGTGTTGGGCAATCAGTCTCAGTCCATTCTTCGGCAACTACGGTGCAAGGTCGATACTGTAGAAACTTGCATTTTGTACCCTTGACCTGACCTTGACCTGACCTCTGACCTACTTAAGGCAAAAAATAGCTCTTAAGACCCGCCTTGTTGAGAGCCTTCGATTGCCGTTTTCGTTTTCCCCGTCTTTCTACGACCATCGGTTCGGAAGTTAGACAGGGAGGCAGAATCTGCCCCCCTTCCCCCCCCTCCCAGCAGGGCGCGTATGACTGAATAGCCCAGCGGGGCGCGGGTTAACCCGCGCGGGGCTGGGGTCTCCAGCCGAACGCGCGGGGCTGGGGGGGGGGGTAAATTTTACCCCCCTGTTATCTCCCGAACTAATGGTCCGATTTGGAAAATTCAAACGCCAATCGAAAGCTCTCATCACGAACTACTAAAAACATGTACTTAATTTAAAGTTTGAGGTCAAGGTCAAGGTCAGGTCAAGGGTACAAATTGCAAGTTTCTACAGTATCGGCCTTGCACCGTAGTTGCCGAAGAATGGAGTCATGGACTGAGACTGATCGCCCAAAACGTGTTCTTAGGCTACCAAGACAATATTCGTTGCATACAATATCATTCAGAGGTCAAGGTCAAGGTCAGGTCAGGTCAGGTCAGGTCACCAAAAAACAAAATATAGAAAAGGGCATGTGCGACACATGTTTTACGGGTCATTTTACTCATAGAATTCAATAGGCGCACTCAATAAGTGATATGGACCACCTCTGGATGAATTTCAGGTCGAGGTCAGGTCAAGGTCAGGTCAAGTGAGGTCAAATTTTGAAGTTGGTTGTTAAGGCCTAAAAAGGTGTCTATCTGATGCAGTTTTTCACGGCGAATCGAATGGTGCTATTTTTGTTTCCGTACGAGGTCTAGAACTTCCAAAACAATCATTTTTCAAAAAAAAATTGTGTGTCGTGACGTCATAAAATTTTGAATAACTCCCACATTTTTGAACCGATTCTTCTAAAATTTGGTATGTAGGTGCACATATACCACGTCTCTGACATATATTCCGGTTTTATTGATAGACTCAAAATTTTGGATTTTATAATGATTTTTCCAAAAAAGTCAGTTTTTTGAAGAAAAAAATTTAGGCCAAAATCCAAAATTTTCAAAAAACTGAGATTGCCATTTGATAGACAAAGTAAAATTACGTATAACCTTTTTTGTTACGTCTTGATTCCTTTAAAAATGAAGATGTTAGCGGCGTTTGAACTTTTGCCGTTTTTGAGGCGAAAATGGCGAACATGACGGCACTAAAACGTCAATTTCTCAAAAATTTTCCGACGGATTTTGCTCAAATTTTCAGGGAACGTGTCAAATTGATGTAAGAAAAGGTACTGAAAGTTTGGCGGCGCTGCGCGCCGCCGTTTTTGAGATATCGCAAAAATTCGCGAGGGGGGGTAAAATTTACCCCCCCCCAGCCCCGCGCGGGTTAAGATAGCGAGCTGAAGTTTGGCAAGTTGATGGGCGACTTTTAGTAGGTACTTATATATATTCTGTTTTATAATAAGTATTTTTATATGTAATTATATTTTTATTGTATTTGTATTTGTATTTTATTGAAACCGTCAACAGGCACAAAACCCAATAAAAGACGGAGTTAAAAAATAAAAGCACAAATAACACTAATAATTAGGTACAGAGCTCACCGAGAACTAAGAAACGCCAATACACACTTCCTAAAAGATGATCGATTTGTAAACAGATCAGAGCTCGGCATTGTCTGGTATAAGGAGTTGGCTAGGCGCGGCAGCCGACAGAACATTCCATTTCTGATCGTTTCAACTCGAGCCACGGGGACGTGCAAAATTGGTCGTGATCGAGTAAGTCTAGCTGGGACTGCAAAAGCAAACATGCTTACGATGTCAGTCGCATCAAATCTGCCGTTAAACACACCATGTAAGAAGGTGAGATCGTGCTGTGACAGTCGACTTGTGCTGTGACAGTCGTTGAACCTTAAAGTGATTGAGCAAGTGTGCATAGTCCAATGAATCAGATGGTTTGCTAGAGTTTACAGCCAACCACATTAAAAACTTGTGCTGGACTCTGTCCAGTCGCACTATGTGCGATTTGGCGGCCCCAGACCAGATGACGCAGCCAAACTCTAGTATTGAACGCACATGCGCGTTAAAGGCCGTAATGAGGGGGCCAGGCTTGAGCCTACGACACACCGAAACACGAGATGTCTGCACTGATCGCAGGTAGATTCCCGATTCGCTCTCCCAACGATGCTGTCAATGTGGGATGCAAAGGCTAATTTTGAGTCCAGTATGACACCCAGATTACGAATCTCCGATACACGATTTAAAGTAGTGCTATGAAGTATGGCGTCGTAATTGGCTTTCTACGCAGGTAGAAAGTTACTGCTTTGCATTTTTCGGGATTTAGCTTTAGCTTCCAGATGTCAGACCACGTACAAAGGTTTTCTAGATCGGTTTGAAGGGCGACAGCATCTTCGGGAGAGCGAATACGCTTACAAAGTTTCAAGTCGTCTGCATACATGACATGTTGAAGACATATGCGACGGGATTGGGTCAGGTCAGTGACCCAAAAGTCGGGAAAATCGGGACCTGTTAGAAAGTCATTAAGTGTGGCTGCTATGGTGTTTTTTGTTGGGTGTTGATCACGAATATCATGTTAGTTTTGATCGCAAATGATGTCTTCATGCATTTAGGCCAGGTCGGGTCAGGTCAGGTCAGGCCAACCAGTAGGGATCCTGCCGGGTATTCGTAGTAGGTGTCAACCGCCTCTGACAGAGCTTCCTATCATAATAATTGAATGAGGACTTTACTCCACAAGAAATCGTTCGGGTCACGATTTCTTGTGGAGTAAAGTCCTCATTCAATTATTACATTAGCAAACTCCACATCATGTCCTTTAGTGAAGCTTCCTATCATGTTACGAAGGCGCCAAAACTACTTTGTAAATGTTAAAATGGTTGCTAACTTGAAAATTCGAATTCAGCTCTAAAAGTAGTATAGAAACGTGTAAAACTCGAAAAAGTTGATAAAGGTTATCAAAGGTCACTGACCTGACCTGACCTTCAGGTGACCATGACACCCACCCTAATGCTTGTGAGCCAACATCCATATCACATGTAGGAACGCTTGAGACCACGAAAAGACTGCAAACGTGCGGCTAATGTGAGCCGACGTACGCCGAATCGCGATTCCGGAAAACATGGTCTCGAATGGTAGGTCACAGGTCAAAGGTCATTTGGGTCAGGGTCATGAAATTTTAAGGGTAGATGTAGAATTGATTAACGCGAGGGAACTGAAAGTTTCGTCGAGATTGGGCTTGTGAACTTCTGACACTTTGATTTCGGACTTCTTCCACCTCCACCTAGCCGAACGGCCTGTGTCGCCGCGAGGCGTCCTTAAACTCACACCCTCAACCTCCACCGATCATGGAACATGTTATTCGACGATGTAGGTACAGATGTTAGGGTCAGGGTCAAGGTCGACTTAACCCGCGCCCCGTTGGGCTCTGCCGAGCAACGCGCCCTGTTTGGGGGGGGCCAATTTGCCCCCCCCCCCCTAAGATCTCGAGAACCACGCAACCTAGCGACAAGCGGCAAACGATGTTGGATAGTCCTATCAGGGAACTACCTTGCCACCCAATTTTATTGACCTAGGTCAAACCGATGACGTCACAGGTCATGTCAAAGGTCGAATTTTCACCGTTTACAGGCATTTCAAGAAATGCGTTGTAAAATCGAGTAAAATGTATTTCATTGAAAATCATCGATGGGGAAATGTTCTTCAAACACATATTTTGCTATTTGAGGTCACTGATACCAGGTCAGGTCACAGAGGTCAGGTCACTGGGGGGTCACAATATGAAAGTGTCGTGTGATACATGTTTTATGGTCTATTTTACATGACAAATGCGATTATGTGGGTCAGGCAGCCTTTGGGGCCAGCTTAGGTCACGTTTTGGTCAAGGTCAGGTCAAGGTCAGGTCAAGGTTAAATTTCGAAGTTGATATTTTTGCATAGAATGGGTATCGAATCGATGCAGCTCGTCACGGGGAGTTCAATGGTGGTCTTTGTTTTGCCCTACGTGGTCTAAAATCGCTAAAAAATGAGTTCAAAAATTTGACATCATCATTTTTGAATAGTTTTTTCACTAAAACTTGGCTTAAAAACGAGATATCGATCTGAAATTTGGTATGTATATAATAGAGCGGAGGGACTATCACAGATTTTCCAGTTTTTTCGAAATTCGGAATAATTTTGGATTTTTTTTAGTTTTTCTAGAAAAATCAATTTTTGAATTTGTTGGGGTCAAAAACCCAAAGATTTGAAAATCCGAGATATCATTTTTGTGGCGCCGCTTTTTGTCTACTAGACCATATAAAGAACTTTGAAATTGCTTGGTAATTGTAGATTTGGTGAGCGTTTCAAGATTGCATGTTTTTTGCTCATTTTTGCTCGAACATGACCTCAGTTTGACCTCAATAACTACTGACCTAAGGTGACCTAAGACTTGAAAGTTTGTGTGAAGGTGTCAAATTGATGCCCGGGAAGGTACTGAAAATTTGGCGGCGCTGCGCGCCGCCGTTTTCTTGCTATTCAGGAAAAACCACAGGGGGGGGGGGGGCAAAATGCCCCCCCCCCCAACGGGGCGAGGGTTAAGACATCTAAAAACATTGTTTTTTTAGGCATGATGAAATAACTTTTCGTAGAATTATTTGACTGCACTTTCGATAAAAACTCCCCAAGTCATGATATTTTGTAATGAGAACGTACAAACCAATTGATAAATTCACAGACACTCCAGAACAAGCGAGCGTGTTTATTCCAACACTATCACTTGAACTTACGGGAATGCTTAGCTCCAGTTCCAGATGAGCTCTATCTGGATTAGACATTAGACAATGAACTTATACCTATGCCATTTTACGAGATGACCTGACTTAACTGCTGTTACCCGATATACTTGACCTAGGAAAATTCAACATGAATGACATCGGATGACCTGTGTGACCCGGCACGCCCTCCACTGCACATCAGTAGGCACAAATCAGCCACGTCAATCTGTCTATGGCTCGAGCAACCGGCACGGTAATGTAAAGGAGCTTCCACCACGCTAGCATTAGCGTTGATATTTCGACAAAGTACTATTGACCTTGACCTAAACGTGACCTGAAATGACAGTTTCTTTGCGCGTTTGTTTCAGAATGTGAGGAATGATCTACGCAACAGAAGAAGAGAAGGCGAGCTTGTGAGGCGATCAACTAGTTGGATGGACCGAGCCGTTGCCAAGACGGTATGCCGTATGCGGCGTCCCAGTGCGCTGGCGGTGACCTCTCAGCGCCGGCGCTGCGTGCCTCTGCTGCTGGTCTGTCTGCCGCTGGGCGCAGTGCCCGTCTGGCTGTGCATGTACCACCAGCTGGCTGAGCAGCACTCCCCGGCGCCATCCGGCACAGGGGGCGGCGACGGTGCGGAGACGCTGGTGGTTCCCGTCGGTCGGCTGGTCGAGCCGTCACTGCCGACCCAGTCGTGGTTCGCCGGTGACCCGAGCTGCGCCCACCTGGTGACACAGTTCGGCCGGCCGGGCAGCCTGCCGGACGCCCGGATCGCCTCGTTTCCCCGCTCGGGCAACACGTGGGCGCGCTACCTGCTGGAGGCCGCCACCGGCCTGGTCACCTGCGGACCGACCTTTGACAGTGAGGCCACCGAGCGGCGGCCGGTGGGGGCGCTGCCGGCCGTGGCCGACGTGACCGCCTACCGGAAACGGTCGCTCTCCACGTCTGCCGAGCTGAGCGCCGCCGGTTTCATCGCCGAGCACGTGTCGCCGCTGACACGCACCTGCCTGGCCGCCAAGACGCACGTGTTCCCACCCGTCTGGCGGCGCGTGGACGGGCCCGGCGACGGGCGCACCGCCGCGGAGCAGTCGACATCGGGCTCCAGCAACGGCACGTCCGGCAACGAGACGGCCACCGGCTACCCGCTGCCGGCGATCCTGCTGGTGCGCGACCCGTTCCCAGCCATCATTGCGCTGCGACACCTGCTCAGCACCAACAGCATACGGGCGCGCGCCGGCGCCGCCAGCTTCTCGGGCGCCGAGTGGCGGCGGTTCGTAGAGCAGCAGAGCCAGTACTGGCTCGAGCTGGCCGACGAGTGGGCCGAGGGGCCGCGGCACACGCTGCTGGTGCCCTACGAGCGGCTGGTGGCCGAGCCGGCCGGCCAGCTGCGCCGCATGCTGCGCTTCCTGGGCGTGACCCCGGCGCCAGAGAGACTCCGCTGCGCGCTGAGACACAAGGAGGGCGCCTTCAGGAACACTGAGCACCCTGTGCTGCCCAGAGGGGAGGTCTATGATGCCGATTTACGCCGGATGGTTTGGTCCAGGATTCGGCTGCTAGATGACACGCTATCAAGTCGCGGCTACCGTCAGCTTCCATTAGAGCTGTATTCGTTCTACAAAAGGACTAGAAAATGATGCTCCTGCTGACTACTTTTTCTGTTGTACAGAAAAAGTCTGTTGTTGTACTTTTTCTGTATAGGTATGATAGGTACTATCATAAGTGGGATGCCGTGCAGTTGGGTCATTTATTAGAAACAATGTCAAAGGAAGCACTTCTCGACACTGGACTGGAATAGACGACTTTAAACATATTGCCAGTAAGTGATATCACCCTGTTGATAAATGCCCGTTCTTCACCAAGAATATTGAGTCTGACCAGCATTAACCCTCGCCGGACCTATTGGTTTTCTACATACCAGTAGCCGGTGGCCGCCCCCCCCCCCGGCCGAGGGGGGCGGGTACGACCCCCCTCGCCGTTTCGCAGAGATTGGCACCCGATTTTAAGGTCCTAGGTCAACCGGTGACCTCTGAGGTCAGGTCAAGTGCCCCAAGGTACGGTTCAGCTTTTGGTAAATAATTTCGCAAAAAAAGGGCCGCAGGGTCGCGATTTTGGCAGCATCGTATTCGCCTCGCTCAGGCGCGTCGAATGATATACTTTTTGTTCGGGTCCGGTTAACTTAAGGTGTTGACCTCAGATCACGGTCACCGCCCCCAGGTCACGAAGTTGGTCGAAAGAGGTCATGTCGCATATCATTCGATTTGGCAGGTCTCCTGAGTCCATTGGTGACTTTCCCGTCTCGCTAGCTCAATTTGATCGGGAGTTATTGACGAAAAACTAATATGACCTTGATGACGTCATAAATGACGTCACCCAAGGTCAACATTGCAAAAGTGACGCATCTGACCTTGCAAGAAGTGCATCAAATCACGATCCTGTGTGCTTGAGATAGTAAGAGATCGTTCCCGGCGCCAGAACGGCAGTTTTTATTTTTCCCCATTGACTTATAATGGTGAGGTCATGAAAATGACCTGACCTCATATGACCTTTAGAAAAAAATCAGAGATAAACAAATTGTGAGACTCGTAATGGATACTAGATCCTGCAAGTTTCATTTCCCTGTGATAGCTCCTCTAGAAGAGTCAGACATTTCGTTTTTCTCACAGACAATGACAATAGGTACAAAAACAAATTACATTGTTTTTGTACCTATTGTCATTGTCTGTGAGAAAAACGATAGCTCCTCTAGCAGTGAGGGCGTTGCGAAGTTTCGACATCTGAAGACCGTGCAGAGGTTCACTTATGACGTCATAGGTCAGTAACCTGACCTGACCTGAAAGTGCGGTTGGTGTTAAAAGATCCGGCTTGAATCAAAGATCAGGTATGCCAAGTTTCAGCTCTGTATCTCCAGTGTGTTCGGGGCTATCGTGAAAAATTCTATGGGGGGGGGGGGGCAGCACCCGCCTCCCCCTGGGCCGGCGAGGGTTAAACAGCAAACGTTGGTACCTTTTAATTATTTATTAATTTAGATAAGCCCGTTCTAAACAAATGAAAATGAGTCATGAGCCCAGCAACAAGGGAGGCAGCGGGGGCGCTTACCCCAACTTTACAGCCTCCACTCCACCAACAATGATACAGCGAGGGCGAATCTGTCCTCTCTTCGCCAGACTCAGGTCTATTTTTCCATTCATTCAAAGGTCAACCAAATCGACAGTTCCCAGCAAGAACATCGTGGGTGTCAAATTTTAGAAATTGATATTTTATACCATTTGACTCAGCTTGAACAGCTGAGTCGAATGGTATAAAAATCTCAATTGTGAAAATTTGACACTTGCTGGGAACTGTCGAAATGTATTCTTCTTACCATGTGAAGGCTTTCTGCTGATTTGGTACCTGTCGATTGGACGGTATCCACTATTGTCATACCACTTTGATTTAAACTGACCTGTGATGTCGAACTTTACAGTCCAAATTCTAAGCTTGAACATTTTGGGTCAACTTGTAGGGCATTCGATTTATCGCGAGAAGACTGTTGGTTAGGTCGTTACTTCGTTTCGTTAGTATTACAGCGGACCAATATAGAGCTACGCACCGTGGAAAAGCGCATTCTATTGCCATTTCAATGCTCTTTTTGGAATATGTTCTTAGATTTGACCTCAGGTCAAAGGCTTAGCCCCCAGAGGGCAAAAACTAAAAATATGATAGTTTTTACGAAGTGTTTTTCAGTAACAACCATTAACTCCATTAGCTCAAGAAAGCCACTACACTTCATTTGAAATGGGATCGATACCAAATTTTAACATAACTTCGGCTAGCTGTTCAGTAATATGTGTGCAAACTTTCGTTTCTCTATCTCTTCGCATTGCGACGATACCTTCGGAGAAGTAAAGGGGGTGTCTGGCGGGTAACCTGCAGGTATGTACGTAGGGGAGAGTGGGGCAAAGCGGCCACCCGGGGCAAAGCGGCCACCCATCGTTTTAGCCCTTCATAGCTGGCGTCAGTTCCAATTTATGGTTTCCAATTATACTTCTCTTCACGGTCGTTCGAATGAGCCAGACCGGGGTTTCAGGCCCATCACCATTGTTCTGTGAAACACGGAAAAGCATTTCTAGCCAGGTTACCAACTATGTTTACAATTTTTAAATGTTATGTTATTCCATAACCTTTTGGAATTTTTATAAGCGTTCTTGTCCATGCATTGCATGGTTATTGTACTTGTATTCTACCAATTTTAATGTTTTTTACCCCACTAATAGCTAAGCTGGAATATTTTTGTCTCGGACGGTATGCGCGGGGCAAAGTGGCCGGGGCAAAGTGGCCACCCCCCAATTGGCCATAAGTTGCTTCCATCTGGATAAAAAACATTATTCATATTCAAATGTGTCGTCATGCATTCATTTTGGCCACTTTCCAGTTGCATGAGTTCCAAATAATGCAATTAAATGTTTATTTTTATGAAAATCCTTTCTTTGTTTACCTACAGGTGGAAGATGATAAAGTAAACATCCATCCTCGCTTAACCTTGTCACCATCAAATACCCTAGTCGTACATACACGAGGCAACTATTTTGTTTCTCATATCGGGACTTGAGAAGACGCCGGTGGCCGCTTTGCCCCAGGGTATGGGGCAAAGTGGCCAATATGCATAGGTTTAAAGTTTTGTCAATATCTTTCATATGTGAACGCCTTTGGAAATAAAACGCAGTTGAAATAAAAGGCAACTTAATAGGGATCACATTGATATAGAAAGAATCTTTCCAAGTTTAAAAATCAAGCGTTGGCATCGTGAGAAGCGTTAGGGTGGCCACTTTGCCCCACTCTCCCCTACATGATTTCCTCGCTGAGGAGTAAAATCTCCTTCAACGTTGCCCAAAAATAGCAGGTTGTTGTCATTTTTTGTGTGTGCTAAAAAATGACAATGATTGACCAAACCTCCACAGACTGGGGGGGGGGGGGGTGAACCAAGCTGGACCGGGGTCTTATAGGTACCCAATCATGGTCACACAAAACAAGTTAGTTTTCGGGTCAAATATTTGTATGAACTGTTAATTGTTTTTTATAGCTTATTTTAGCTTCTAGTTTTTTTTAGTTCGAAACTCAGTACCTACACAAAAATTCGATACTCCTCCACTTTTCCTCATCCTCTTTTAGCGACTAAATCTGACCTTATTCCGATGTGGCCCATCTTACCAACAACAACAAAAAAAGAACCGCCGGCTATGACAATTATTCGCCCAAAGGCGCTCTACGCAAGAAACACCAGTCAGTCTAAAACTGACGAACGATCTTTCTGGTGCTGGAATTACTGGCAGATCCAGGGGGGGGGGCATGGGGCATATGCCCCCCCCCCGACAGGAGCCCAGGGAGGGCATTCAGTACAAGTATGCCCCCCCCCCCCCGTTCAGACTTACACTTCTTACGCCTATAACGAGGAACTAAATAAAAATGGATTAGAAAGCCTTCCTAGTAACTGCTTTTGTGATCAGAGTCGTTTTAGTAGCCTCAACTTAGCCCTCGCCCATGTAGGGGGAAGGGTTGGTGCAACCCCCCCCCCCCTGAGGTTTTTCTTAGCTACACGCCGAACCGTTTCAGATAGCCTGCTCAAATTTTCAGTACTCTTCCTTTGCATCCTTTCCTTTCCTTCCTTTGCTTCCAGGCATCCTTTGCGCAACTTTTGGTAAAAATTTTTTGTCAAGGTCATGTCAGGTCACGGAGTTATGACGTCATAAAGGGAACAACCTCCGGCCAGATTTACGCTAAATTGGAAATTGCTTCACATTGGTATAAATGCCGACTGACCTGACACACTGATGGATTGTTTTAGAATCACAACTGGCTGATTTGACATTGGCACAATGTCCGTTGACATTTTGAAGGTTACTAAAGGTCAAGGTAAGGTCAGTGACCTCGGTTGACCTGTAATGACTTCTTGCACTTGTATGCCTTTTCGGGGTATTTTGATGCCCTGAATTCGACTTTGCTATCCACAGAGGTGCACAAATAGCCCAGCCTGTCTCCTACACGGTCTCCGATGGCTCCGGTTTGTCTCACCGATCATCCTTAGGTATATCCCAACATATCTATACTTTCAAGTAAAGCTGGTTATTTACATTACAGTGATTAATATTTACAGGACGTAAACGCTATTCCTGAAGTGTTTTTATTTCTGAAGCTATCCGCAGATATATCGTAATTTTTTTAAGAAGCCGACAGACATACAGTATGCGCTGATTTGGGCAAAGTGCGAGGCAGGACTTGGTACACCTCCACCTGAAATGCATACTGGACACTGGTGGTGTATAAATATGTAGACTAGAGTGAGGCGGTCTGGTTGTTGACTGTGTCTGGAAACACTGGAAAGTCAAGAACTACCCTCATAAAACCACCGGGACGCTCAATTAATTCCTCTCATCCAATGAGGGTTCAGTTCCACATGGACCAGACGGGCGTCCATCTGCCGTCCCATAGCGTCCCTCTCCCGTTTAGTGGGGCAGTTACTACTTGGCGGGCTGAAGGTGAAGTTGACGTAACGCTGCAGTGTACGGTGCACATCAGTGTTTCTGTTTAGGAATATGAAACTTTAAGGAGTGTGTAACAAGTTTTTTCCTGGATCAACATAACTTCATTTAGGTAAGAAAACATTATTTGAGGACGATTTTGCAATATTTGCTAATGGGACGAAGCCCATTAAATTGCTATGGAATATCTATCATATTGAGGACCACAAACGTTCAGAAAACGTTTTGACTGTAGGCTTTAAGAAGCGGCTTTAAATCCTTTTATAATCCATCGCTGACTACATCTAGGTATGCTGCAATCTATACACATTTCACGTGCATCGCTAATCTCTTCGCTAG